CGAATAAAAACAGTGGGACCTGGAAAATTTCGCGGGCGGTTCCCGGTCAATTTTCGAGGCCTTGCCCCAGAAACACTACGGTAGTAAACGAAACTTATTTCTGTGAATTTAGGGGGATTTTCTGAACAAAATTTAGAGTTCTTGGTATGAAAATGATCGCTAGCATCTTTAGAATCTGTTATTTCATCAAAAAACCAAACTTAATTGCGAAAGTAGCTCGAACGAGGCGAAAAACTGAAATATTACGTTTTGCCGCACTTTTTCGTAGATCAAAAAAAGCTACGCCTTTCAAATTGTCAGGTCCCACTTTTTTTAATTCGACAATATATTTTGAATTTTACACAGTCTAACAACTCTCCCATTATTTTCTTTCCATCTCTTCTTCTTTTTTTTTCTTTTTCTTCTCTAGAATCCATAGAATCCGAGTTGTTTGTGTCGCACATAAAACGTGACGATTGGCAAGTGCAGTGCTCTCACAACAACAGTTTTATCCACTGAACTCATAAAATGGCACATTCCAAATTTCAGAAAAAAAAAGGTTTATTTCAGGTATACTTCGACGAAGCCCTTAACCCGTTTAACTTCTCCAAAACACAACAACAATTACTGATCAATCAAAATCGTCGAATCTTCTTCTAACTTCTTGGCCAAAAAATCCATTCGTTGTTCCTCTTTATCTTCTGAGCATAACGAACATGTCATAGAGTTCCCAGAAGTGGCAACACAGGTATAACATGCCACGTGTCCACACTTCTGACCAATCATCGGAATAACAGCCGGCTTGTCACAAACAACACATTCGATATCAGATCCTCCGATCGTTGAACCGAACTTTCTAACAAGTTTTTGTTTTTTGACGACTCGTTGGCGAATTCTTTCGATGAATGGGTAGGTAAGAAGAATGACGTCACGGAATGCATGCCACATGAGCTCCCGATTTTGGTTATCGTAGTTGACCGATGCTGTAATTTTGACTTATTTTATCTGTCTATTTTGGTCATGTTAATATTTTCATCAAAATTGAATTTATTGTCAATTTTGATACTGTATTATGGATCATCCCCCCGAAAATTTTCTATCATTCTTTCTTTTTCTTTCTCTATCAATCTTTTTTTTGTCTCTTTCTGAATTTGTTTAATTGTAATTTTTTGACTCTTTGGCTCTAGTAAATCGTTTTTTCTTCTCGTTTCTCTCAAGTGATAAGAAGAGCACACGAGTCTTCTCTGTTACACTTTTTGGAGATCTTGAAAACAACAAGAAGAAGGATATGTGACTGCTCTCTGGGCGTGTGTTCCTTACAAATTGTTGGTTGATGGTTGTTCCAGTTACGAAGAGAAAGTATGCTTTCTGTCAGAGTTGAATGGCCACCAGATCGGAGAAAGTATAAGAAGTGTAGAAGGCTTCCGAGCTGAAAAAGGAATTCTGATTATTATTGTTAATCGTATTAAATTTATTCATAATATATTCAAATTATTTAGTTCACAAGATGTAAAAAAACAGTAAAACCTGTAATATAAGCACCATGTGTCAACTAACCAAACACTTCTGATATTATGATGTGCAATTTATTAGTTGACAATTTTTTTGTATCTTTGACACGAATTGAGATAAATTGGATCAAAATTAAACCTCTACTCACTTCAAAGATTGCTTCAAGTTTTGCATAACTCCTGGCAAACTCCATTCTTCCACTCAAATCTGTCAATCGTCGAGTGATATAAGGAAGAAAAACTTCCATCACAAAATGTTGGGTTATCAACTTTGGACTGTATCCCGAATACGCTATATCCATCTGCTCTTGTCCCGGTGATGCACCTAAAATCTTTTTCATTTAATTCCACACTAAATTTCCATCCAAAAACCTCTAGAAAATCGATGAGTCCACAAAACCGCATCCAGAGTCACTTTCAATTCAGGCCGTAATTTTTCAAACACTCTGGAAATCCAAACTGGCATCTGATTGACGATATCATCCACAGAATCTTGAGCAATTGTTCTGATTTCAGAATCGAGAACATGAGCATCCAGTTGATCGACACGAAGGCATTGGCAAGCCATTTTTCAAAAGAATCTTTCAAAATAATTTATGAAAAAGAAAGAAAGATAGTGCAGACGAAAAAGTGAATAGAGGAAACCGGAGAGAGGAACGAGTACAGTGTAGTCAAGACAAAATGGACAACAAGGACGATATCATAAAACAGAGACGGGGAGAAATGTATCGTGGATTGGGTACTTTGGAAAACTACAGTATCGTTCAATAAGATATAAAACAAATTTTCAGTACAAAAACTGGCCAAAGATAGGTGTCTTTCAAAAATAAGCAAATATCTGAAAAACTGTGAAATTTCTAAAAATTCTGTGAATCAAAGTTTTCAATATAGGTCTGTTTTACGCCCTCCACAATTTTTAAAGTGATCGGAAACTTGACAGCCGAGCTCCAGACTCCTAAGAAATTCCGAAACGCCCGGAAATCAAATGAAAATATGTTTTTATATCTTATGCACCGGTACTGTAGGTCAGCTCAGAAAACTTAAATTTTGAAGAGTGCAGATGAGAATAAAAGTTTCATAAAGGTTCGGCAACAACTATGACAGAACAATTAAAATACCGAAAAAACTTTTATTAAACGGCCACTGAGTTTTAACTTTGAGGCGATTTATCTCGGTTCCTGCGAAGGATATGAAAAAGTTGTCTACTGATAAATTGTTTATCATAATGTCAGAAATGTTTTCTCAGTTGACACATGTTTCATATCTTGTATAGGAATTGAGATAACTGAGCTCAAATTTGACAGTGTGGGGCCCTTTTATTACAGGCTTTACGGTGAGGAATTAACAATTTATCTCATAAAATAACTTAAATAGTATAATTTCTGGGAAAATTTCAGATTTTCGGTTGTTCAAAAACATTATCCCCCACCAACCCAACTTATTTTTAGTTTTCAACGACATCTAGGTTATCTTATCAGAGTATTTTGTTTACCCCTTTTGTGCTCTCCTGACCTCTTCCATTGTTATCTGATGCGCACATCTACAATTAATGAACAATGTAAATACAATAAATGCAGATATTATCGCTCTAGATTACCATCATCTGACCTGCTCTTTGGCCTTTTGTGCTCTGGGAACCCCCTTCTAGTGTCTAATACTCTTCTATTGCTACACTATTTCTTATCTACCCAAAAGTGGGCGGAGCATAAGGGTCCCAATAGAGGGGGGTATTTAAAGGCTCAAGATGGGCGAAGAATATTCACTGTGGTCTGCAGAATCATGAAGTCGATTGTCGTTTTCGCTCTTTTCTCTGTCGCTGCTGCTCAATTCGGAGGATATGGACGTGGTAGAGGTGGTCCAGGTGGCCCTGGAGGACCAGGAGGATTCGAAGGAGGACCATCAAATGGGAATGAGCTCACTTATGAAGCAAAAGGAAGACTCATCTGTGGATTGACTGGAGTTGATAAGGTTAGTTTTTTTATTATTTTTTGTATTTCTTTCCATGTTTCTAACTATAGTCTTTTGAGGTTCGTGTCGTTCTCTGGGATCGTTTCCGTGGACGGGAGAACATTGTCTATGACGAGACCTATACCGATGTCGTTGGAAACTTCCGTCTTCGTGCCACCCGAAATGGATTCGATGGAAATTTGATTCAACCATTCCTCACCATCTATCATGATTGCGATGATGCCGCCACTCCAGGACTCCGCAAGATGACTGTTCAACTCCCACCCCAATACACTAATCAAGGATCATTGGCTTTGAAGTCATTCGACATCGGAACATGGAACCTTGAGACTTCTTTCGCTGGAGAAGAGTTGGAAATTCAAGGTGGAGCTCTTGGAAACCGTCCACTTGGAGGAGGAGGAGGATTCCAACAAGGACTCAGAGGACAATTCGGAGGAAACAGAGAAATCTTTGCTCATGGAGGCCGTGCTGAGTTTGGAGAGTCTTCGATAACTGTCTAATTACTGTATTCCATATTACGTGTTTTTTTATTTATGCATCTCAAGACCCGATTCTGATAGACTTTCAATTCAAAAGTGTGTCTTTTTCGTTATCCATCTGTGATAAATAATTTACAGTAACAAGAACAGCATATAACTTCTAGCGGGCGGCTGACGGGCGGCTGACAAACGAGTACACACAATTCAGACGGATTGTCGACAGACCACGATTCATCACACTGCTAGATATTATTTTGGTCTCACAAAAACAACTACCGTAACCTGAAAATATTTGTTTTTCCGTTTTTTTCGTTTTTTACAGTTGTTCGTTTTCTGTTATTTTTCCCCTAATGCGTGGGAAACGAAACATTTTTGAAAGTGAAAGACTGAAAACGCACGAAAATCGAGATTCTAAATCCGGAAAATGAAAACATTTATAGGTTACGGTAGTTGTCGCAGTGAGACCTTCGGTCTCGGCCATCGACATATCTCTTCCGCAGCTCCGACTTTTGCGTACCAACATGATCAACATGATAAACTGCGAATGGACGGCTAACGAACAAATTAACATGTCAATTGAAACGTTGTAAACGGAACGGATTATCGACGGACCTCGATTCATCACATCACTAGAAGAAAGTGTCAAAACTTTCATTGATTATCGTATTCATGGTCTTCTATATTTCTGAACTTTTTGAATTAAACAGACCATAATATAAATATTTTTCATTAAATAAATAAATAATCAATTAAAATTTAACAACATTCATATCCATTTGACGAGATCAGAAAGACCGACTATTGTAGTCGTCAACGTTCTGGAATCCAGCGCCAACCGATCTTCCACCAAAAAACCTTCCATTCATCATGACGAACGCTTTGATGGCTTGAGCATTGGTTGGAAATTCAACGAAAACACGAACACGACGACTTTCATCTTCCTCGTTTTCACTCTGTAAGAGGTAGTATGCATCGAATACAAATAATTAAATGAGTCAACTTACAACATGGACTATCACTTCTACAACCTGCCCACACTTCTCCATTTCTTCTTTGATTTCACTCGCAAACTCTTTCTTTCCTTCTTCTCCAGATACTTCTCCCACATCGGTGAGGTTCCATAATTGAAGGATTTTCGTAGCATTGTTCACAGCTTCCGTTGAGTTGGCAGCAAATGATGGAACTCTAGGAGATTCTCCAACAATGTTACCGGTTCGAGCTCCAACTCTTTCAACCTGCAGAGCTGTACTCATTCCCTGCTCAGACTTTCCGAGTCCTTGTCCTTCCCGATATCCATGCTTCTTCATGATATTCGCTGCGATACCGAGACCTCGGCTGGTTGATTTCCCAAATGCAGGAAGGAAAGATGGAGGTGGCATGAATGAGGATTGTGGTTTATCTTCTGGAATATCATCTTTCTCTTTGACAACTTCAGGTTCCGGCTCCATAAGCATTGTAGGTGGAGCAATGGCTGCTCCCATCGATCGTTTTTTATCCTCTTCTTCATGTTCCCGTTGTAACCGTTTTGCGATTTCTCTTGCATTCTTCTCGCGTTGCTTCCGATCATTCAACTCTTTCGCCAAGATTTCAAAGTTGTTAGGAGTCATCGGAAAGTATTCACACTTGATATGCTCTTCTCCAAATATCATAACACTCTCGTCTGTTGCTGCTTTTGGGAGGAAACTGATATTTTCGGCAACTGGGTTTGCTCGAATTGGTTGGAACGTTTTTGGTGTTGCAGCAGTAGTCATCGGTTTATTTCTTGCAGAAAGATCAATTACTGGTGGTGGAGCAGAAGATTTGATGAGCTTCTGCCTCTGAAACATCAGATGATTTTGAATTGATCAGAGGTTACCGTAATTACCGCTTGTTGCTGTAATGCAGCTTTTCGTTGTGCTAACTGAGACTGCATGAATGCCATTTGAATATTATGCATTGGTTTTGCTGAAAATCTGTGTTGTCTGAAAATCCGCCTACAAGATAATGTTTACCTTGTTTAGCTGGCGGTGGTCCTGTCGGAACATCTTCTTCGTCATCATTGTACATCTCCGTCAAAATATTAAGTTGGATTCTAGAATTTTATTCCTCACCAAGACAAGATATCTTTTCATTCAGTTTTTCTACTGCTTAATTATTATATTATTAATTAAATATCATGATTACTTTATAAACTTTATCAAATTACATTAATCGAGCATACGATAGACATAAAACCTTTTTGAAAGATGTGGGATTTTGAGGACAGTGTAAAAACAGGAAAAGGAATTGAATTTCTAGCGAACGTGACTGATTTGGACGGAAGGGGGTGAGAGAGAATCCTACGATTGCGAGAAATGGGATCGTCTTTAAGGAAAAAGATTCCTTGAAAACGATCTCCCCCTTGCAATAGAAGGAGTGTCGGATGGGAGCATGCGACGGCTTTAAAAGGCGATTATAGCATATGCAATAACAGAAAAAACATGAGATAACTGGCGAAACAAAATTTTCTATCTTTTAACTAAAGTAATCAGTAAACGGCGGACCGCTTGTCGCGTTGTTTTCCACGAACTTGGTTACGATGTTTGTCGGCGGCATCATGAACTGCTAGCTGAAAAATTTGAAACTTTTTTGATATTCTATCAGAGGAAATTAAGCTTACCCTGGTCTGCTTATTAACTGTTCCCTCAGACTCCAGAGGAACCGGGCCTAGATCAAATACGTCTCGAAGAACTTCGTTGGTGAGCAACTGTTGAGCAAGTCCGCCATGAAGCAAGTCGCAAGTCATATCGTAGAACATCTTAATGCCACACGAATCCAAAGAAAGTGTCTGTGATCCAATTTTTACGCTGACTTCTGGAGCATCGTCTTCGTCAGCAATGAAGGCTCGAATGTCTCGAACGGCGTATCTTTGAGCTCTCTTGTCTTTCTTTGTCTTCTTTTTAGAACAGTCATTCATCATGCCGTCGAGAAGGTCTAATACATGTTCTTTATTCGGGAATCTGAATCCGGGTCGAGTGTCTTGCATGAACTCATGTAAAAATGCGAGCGTTTCTGCTGCGGCCAGTCTTGCTTCGAGCTGATTTGACGACAAAATAGTGACGATTTTCGGTTGATCAGCGACTGCCTCATTGATTGTCTGGAAGTCGGCGTCAAGAGTGATGATGCACCAAGCGGCAAGCGAAGTAGCAACCAGTTTGGCATGTCCGTCATCGTTAGCAGATCCAGAAACTTTTGTGTTGGCCCATGCAAATCTGCAGGCCTTTGCATTGGCGGAAACTTGATCATCTTCACTGCAGCAGATCCTGGTAACGATTGCTAGAGAGTTTGCGCAGGTGGTCCGAAGAGAAACGCATCTCGATGCATCCATAAGAATAGTACGCATCTGTGACATTGGCTCGGCGATAAGATCAGAAATTTCCTCTCCAGCTTGAACAGCAACCAGACCAACGAGAGTTGCGAGCAGGTGTGCTTCTGAATCTGTTTTATTGCCCATTCTAGCGGCTACGGACATCATGGTTTCTTTATTCCGGCCGATGAACTCGGGAACATTTTTTGCTCTCAGAGCTAGATTGACTCTATGAAGACCGTCTAGTCTAGTTGTTGCACTGAAAAAAGTTGAAGTTAGAGAGAATGACTCGAAAACGACTTACTTTTTATTTTGTGCTCGTTCCAAGTTGTCGACGAGTTGATCATAAACATCATCCATGTCTTCGACATCACCCATTATAGACTGCATGTCCTCATTATACGTGAATGCAGAACCTTCGCTATCATCAGAATCAGATTCTCTTCTGCCTGATTTGATAGGTCCGGCATAGGCATCCTTGTCCTTATTTTTATTTCCTTTGCTTTTTCCCATCTTTTCGTTATCTGAAAATAAATATGAAAATAAACAGTGTATTTTTGCAATTAAAGATTATAAGCAATGAGGAGAACGAAATTTTCACAAAAAAAATTTCAAGTAGCAGAAAACCTATCGCTGATTCACATGCCTAGTGAGAACCGCTCATGACACACGTGATCGGTTCTCTGTGTTTCAAGAGACCGTTAAAAGTGATCACTTGAAGTTCGAACAACAACAAAAAAAGGTAGATTTCAAGAGTATGAAATAGGAAAATTAAGCTCATCGAACTCCATTTAAGACAAAAAATGATTTCCAGAATTTCCCAGAAAAGACTAACTTTCGTAAGGGTAAATATTGTGAAATCAAACGAATGAAAATGACGGACAAGGATTCACATAACTAAACGGGGTTGTTTTCTGTTACATACAGCTGGGTCTCTAACATCAAGTTGCGAAACAAACAACAACTGATGATGTCAGACTGAAGTAAATATGTGCCAAAGAGTATTGGAAGAAAACCTGGAAAATCAATCGCTCGAGAATTAATAGCTTACTGTTTTGCGCGTTTTTTGAACAGAATCGATAAAGATACAACAAGAAAAGTCAATTGATTATGGCTGAAAAACGAGGTATGTGGTCCGCTGTGGGATTCGCGAGGCGAGACTCTGTTGACTTTTTTGAGACCCCGCAATTTCCGGGGAAAAAAAAATCGGGGAAAAAAAAACCGGGGAAAGTGGGCGGAGTCGAAAAAAAACCGTGCGGCAAAACCGTGCCAGGGTTGCAATTTAGGCTCCGCCCCCTCATGACCGTGCCCAAATGTGCAGAAAAACCCTGCGGCAAAACCGTGCCAGGGTT